GCGATTAATATATTTGTGTATATACTTGTAAATTTTGACATATCCATCCATATGTATGTATGATATGCTTATACACGAGAGGAGCAATGTGTTTGAACATTGGCGGCAGTATATCGTTTGAAGCCCTGACTTATTTCAAAATGTTCGTATTCGCTACAATAGATACTCTTAGTACATACTACGAATCAACCCGTCTCTACACATACTTGTATTTATGATTTTGAATGTTGTTCAGTCCCTCCTCCGTGAAGTATAGATACTTCCCGCGTCGAAACGGCATAGTGACCGCTTTCTCGCAACTCAAACGTATCAGCCATCAACGTAACATTCAGTGTTGTTTAGAACACAAAAGTAGTTATTTAAGAAATAAACCAATTACGATGTGAGAGACTCTTTTCTGTGTTAATTATACCAACAAGTGGTAATGACAGCATCTGACAAGGGTTGTTGCCATGCGTTCATCCTACTGGCAACTACTATTTATATTATTAGCACTCCCCCTCTACTCGACTGATATCAGCCCGTTGTCATCATCAAAGACCATCCCGTGTGTGAAAGGGCTCGCACTCTCCCAGCGACAGGGATGTCAGGAGTAATATTTTTCAGGACCCTCTTATGCAGTCTCTTACTTGGGCCTTGGGCCTTGGGGCGCCTTAGGACCTTGGCCCTCGGCCTTGTTGGGTCTTGAACCTTTTTAGACTAACTTTACATATTTGGCAATATCAATTTAGGCGCGCGAAGCCTCTTTATGTATGTTGGTGCAAATTTTTGGGTTGAGCGGGTTCCGTAAAACATCAATTTCAATTCAAACGAAGTAACTTACGTAAGGGGTGAGGGGCACGTACATTGGAGAGTGATTTAATCCGCTATTCTTTCATAATCGTTTTTATGAGCTCTTGTAGATGTCCCACTAGTTTTGAGTTGTACATTTATTTTGATACACTGGGTAAGATCTGAAATGAGTCCCACTGATCAAAGCTACACTGTCAAATGAGGATCATTTGAATGCCCTACACCCTGACGTCGCGGGTGGGAAATTTTTGAAAGAACTATCCCAAACATCTGCCCAAATATCTGTACTCGTAATATTGAAAACCGGCGAGAAATACATTGGACCCTGCAATCACTGGGTCCGCGGCGAATTCTTCACGGTACATTGCTTCGCCTGTTTCAATCCCATTCGTCCGGAAGTATTCACCTTGAAACGGCATATCAGAGTGATGTTGGGGTCCTTCTGCGCTGAGAATAGGTACTATGTCCACGTTCGCGTTGCCCTCTACCAAATTGTACATGCGTGCCTTTGCTTTGGGAAAGGCTTGATCGCCTCTGCGAACATACGAGTGAAGATATATTCGATCTACTAGTCGTGCAATTTCCCTAGCTTTTTCAGTTGCTGACGATCCTGGTGAATCTTTTAACCACCCCAAATATGCATGAATGCTCAATTTCTTACCATTGAACTGTACCCCTAAACTCCTCATTTCATCGAGGAAGCTAACAAACTTCTTGTATTGTTGCTGGTGCTCAGGGCCAGCCCAGAACTCGATTTCTGTTAGTAACCCGTTAAATCCTGCGTCGTCGTTGCATGTATTTAGGTAATTCTGAATTCTGTAAAAGCTTTCTATTGTCGAGCCAATTGCGATCACCTCTTTAACCCCATGCTTCCGTGCCCGACGTATGAAATGAGCTAGGTGCTCGATTAGCGAAGGATCAGACAATATATGTCGCAGATCATACAAACTTAGAGAATTGATAGAGTGTTTCTCTATAAAGTTTATAAGTATATCCGTTTTAGCTTGGTCGACAATTATATTACCATATACACCAGACTCGGTCTGATCATATGGGCTCATATACAAGCCACGGAGCATGTTAGGTTCGATATTTAGTTGCGTAGTACACCTCCTTGAATCAAGTTCTGGTTTTGAACCGTAAGCGCTAGAAAGACAAATGAAGGCGATGATGTACCTGGCAGTTATTAGAAAAGGCATGTCATCTGTTCCTTCACATGTAAGACTGAAACATAGATTTGTTACACCGGCCCCTGGTATCAAACTGATGTGGATATGATAGCGAAATTAAGAACACAAATGTTATGTGCTCAGGTCTATCGGGATATTTACAGGAAATGATCGCAGGGAGTAAGCTTTATTACTCCACCACAAGGACCTCTTTCGCTGTGGTGAGTGTGTCGGTGTGGTCTATTCAGAATTCACACTCACTCTTGTTGTGTTTATAACTTGTGTATCACACCTTTTTTTTTTAACTATACCTATGTATTGCCTATTGTGCTTCAGTATTCTCACACATGTGAATACATTTCACTGATCCCGCACATGGCTTTTAAAAACCTCCAGTCTTCCACAAGTTGTGACCTTCAACTCAAAGTTAATCAGTATTCACTTCTAATACTGATCCTGTTCTTCCTTTAGGCTCTCAATCCTGCATACACATAATGGTCTAGAGTAGATTAGGGTTGTCAAGTGCCAACCACTGGTTGTGTGGTTAAAACATTGCTCCCAACTCAGGTGTATTCCACGCAATCGCCGAAATCGTCAAATCGGACAATACATATGTACATACATACATACACATTTCCAGTTTTCCACTGTTCCAGTGTTCCTATATGTAGCTCTGTACTGCACAATCAGTCCACTGAATCACTGAATCAGACAATCAGTCAATCACAATGCTACAGAATACTCTTGAACCAAATGTCTGGTATTTACTCACACAGTCATTACTCATGCTACTTGTACTATTTGCAGTTCTGCTGTTCTGCACAAGATTACTCTCGCTTAAAAGATGAATAGAGTCAAAGAGTCGGATCACTGAGAGTGAGACTGAGCCACTGTGTGACCTCACTGACCTCAGTGACCTGACTGTGACTCGCCTGAGGTCTGAGACTCTGGATATTTTTTAAATTCGGGGGGATTTTTTAGCAAATAATATAATATTTATTTATCTTCTTTTTTTTTTAGTGACAAAAAGCCATGAACCAAAAAACACAAGCGTATTTTATTTTATTTTGAAATACGACACCCGTCACTATAAAAATATTAACGCCCGAGCCCTAGTATTCCTATGTATATGAACAGAGTCATGACCCTCTAGAGAAAAGAAAAAATTGCCACAACGGACTAACGCCTTCAAGATGGCCGTGACCGAGTGAAATTGTTTTGAATTTACACAGGTTCTATAAAAAAAATGCGGTTAGTGAATTCACAGAACAGGACAAACTCCCTTGGACCTGAAATTAAAAGTTTACAACTGTTACACAACAGAACGGGACAACCCCAAATTCAACATTGTTGAACAATGCAAATCTGATCACGTCAACACTTCATACAACACAAAAGGAAAGTCATTGGTTAAAAGTATACTATGATCCACTTATATGCTTCGTATGAGCCGATCCGGGCGAGAGTCGACGGCAACTGTGCCTTCAGGTTTGCCAAATGAGTCTGATATGCTCACTATGGAGACTAGGCTGCGAAAATCCGCTGTGAACCCAACAGCAACCCCTAAATCTGTTGGTTTGATGCTGCCTGGTATGAAAGATGTACACGGCAATATGTGCGCAATAGTATTTTGCGATGATTGTCTCATGCCATGAATCATCTTTTCCGCTGACAACTTACTACAGACAGAAAAAGAGGCACTGTTGAATATATTGTCTAATGAGGACTATTTTTATGTTTGTGGCGACTCACCTGTACCAACAAAAAAAATGTACTATATACTAAGCTTGCAGTACGAAACAGTAAATGTCATGATCACGTCAACACTTCATACTACACAAAAGGAAAGTCATTGGTTAAAGTAGACTATGATCCACTTATATGCTTCGTATGCGCCGATCCGAGCGAGAGTCGACCGCCTGACAGTGGCAAATATTCCTGTGTCCACCCCACATGTGGCGCCTGTCACAATCACGGCTTCAAAAGATGGCGCATTAGTTGCAAAACTAACAAACGAACAGCTACTGAGTCATCTGAAGTAGCTACATCATCTACGTCAACTGGATTGCTACGTCAAATGAACCAGCTACGTCAGCTGAACCAGTTACGTCAGCTGTACCAGCTACGTCAGCTGCATTAGCCGCGTTAGCTTCGCCAGCTACTATGTTAACAGCGTCAACTGGATCTCAACTACCACGACGAAAAAGAGTACGCATATCTATGATGTCTGAAATCGACTTTAAGGATACTGAGAGCAGTGATGAGTCTGAATATGACGATGGACTATATTAGTAAAGCATCGTACTATACATGTTAAGATATCAATACAATATTATAGGCATTGTATACATATTTATATCAATACAATATAATATAGGCATTGTCCAATAAAAAATAAATTTATTTGATATCATTTGTATACTTGTAAATATACACATAAACATAGTATAAAGCTAAATACGATACCTCAATCGAAGGCCAGTCGTTTGACTGAGCTCGGAGTTGTACATCTGCACGATACCGCTTTTGTAGTCATTGCTATTCTATCATTCTCCTCCGCCCATTCAGTAATTTTCTCCGACGCTGTTGGCTGCACACCGTCGAGTACTGAGTTACCTGAGTTTATGATCTTCCATTGCCAGGTTAAAATATCTAGTAAACCGGATTATGCTGTCTTATTTGTGATTTTACTTGCGCCGGACCATGTAGCAAATAACGTTGTAGCGTGTATGAACTGCTATGTTTTGTGATTGCACACCCTTCGATCTTCCTTTCTGGCGAGCAGGCAAAGGGGTGCGGTATGTCAAATGAAACTTACCAGTATTTCGATCGACAAACCCGCCACTGTGTATTATATTTACAGTCTGTGTCGCAGGGGCTGTGGTGCCCGGGAAGTACACTAGCCTAAAGAACACTAAATCGAGTACAGTATCACTGGATGTCATAGTCCAACCGTTCCTATTTGCAGAATTATCTATGAAACCAGCAGCTATATCAACAAGCAATTTGTACCCTTTGTGAGCTGAGAGCACTCGTCCGCCTGCTAATACATTGAATTTAAATATTTTTGTAATATTTATCTCCCCCTGTGATCTACCCAGCCCTTGTGTTATTTGTTTAGCTTTGACAGCTATATCTGTATGTGCTGCAACACCACGATGTTTGTTTTCTATATTGAGAGGTTTGCATGTAGTATCTATATGATGTGATTGTTTTGTAGTGGCTGTGTTCTGTTTGGTTGCTGTCTCATTCGTATCCCCTACACTTGATACTTTCTCGACATTCAATGCATGCACATCAATACTTGAATCTGATTTCGAGCACGTACATATGTCCATAGTCTGATCAGTACTAGTAATGGTGATAGCTTTGCATGCAGTGTCTATATGCTGTGATTGTTCAGTAGTGAATGTGTTCTGTTTTGTTACTGTTCCATTCGTACCCACTACACTTTTTACCTTTTTGACATTCAATGCATGGACATCAATACTTGAATCTGATTCAACATGTAGTCATCTTTCAGGCAACTCGTTGACCGGCACACAACCAATCCTAGGGCGCTTACATTCTTATAAACTACCATTTGATCATCAGAGAAATGAACACTGCAAACTTTCATACTAGCGTACGGCTTCGTCCTTCCAGCTAACTGATGCATACAAACCGCATTGAATCGGTGCAATGAGATCTTGCCCACAACGGCTCGCCTTCCACACTCACGCACACAGCACCTTCCACCCGACATTGTTGACTATACTTTTATATTATATAACACCACTACTATACTTAACACTTGCTTAAAGACTAGTCTAATACTGGTATATTTCAATACTAAAGAGTGTATGTGTGACATACTCAAAGTATGTAGGATGAATAAAAGGTTCCCACGGCGTAGTCAATAAAGTACCCACCGCGTAGTCAAAAGTTACCACGGCGTAGTCAAGAAAGTTTCCACCCACAGTGTAGTCAGGAAAGTTTTCACCGCGTAGTCAAAAACTTACCAAGGCGTAGTCAAAAACTTACCAAGGCGTAGTCAAGAAAATTCCTACGGCGTAGTCAGGAAAGTTCCCACGGCGTAGTCAGGAATGTTCCCGCCCCGTAGTCATTTCGTATTCAACACAACAAAGTAGGAAGGAATCAGCAGAAACAAAAATTGATTTGGAACCGCCTTAGCTAATATAGATAAAGTTCTATCTGAGGAAAAGTTATAAAGAAGAATATGACTTATTAGATTTTAGAGATTGGCAGGAAAACTAAAACCTGTAAGTAGTAGTTCAGAGATTATAAAATTTAGTTCATAATATCTTACATCTACTATCGTCTCAAATAGATCCAAGTAAATGTTTCATACCAAATACTCCGGTTATTGGAGCCATCAAAGTGAATTTAGAACACTTTCGAAATATTGGAAAAAGAACTTGTATTAAATTTTTTTAAATACAAATAAAAACCAATGTGTTATCTCATTTGATCTTGATATTTTAGACTGACCGGAGGCCGTATTTCTACATAGCCCCCAGTAGCTTTTAGGACTACGGACGCACGTGAAGGAACGATATAGTTCGTATAGCGAAAATCATAATAAACCGGTTTCGTCATGGCTTATCGAGTAAGTATGTGCCTATATGTACGAGTTCAAGACTCATGTTGTACTCTATGTCGTTTAGTATTTGGTCCAGTAACCATTTCCGATGTAGGCGCCTTACGTTTATTACTTGGTAAGGTAATAGCCAAAGGTTGTTCTTTATTAGTAAGTAAGTTCGAAGAATTTTCTGCTATGTTGGTAAGCAGATCAGAAAGTTTAGTCACATAGGAAGTAGGTGGCAAATAGGGAATTTCATATCCATCCGGGTTTGTAGTCACCTGAGAAAACCCTTTCCGTTTATCTCATGTGTTCTTATGCAAACGCTTATTCCATTTCTTATTAAAAATACGAAGGAAGTCGCGAGATTCACGAAACGCATCGGAGTTTAGCCAAGCTACTGTCCCATTCATAAAACGTGTTTGTAGTAAATGTAACCGTCTTCGGATGTTATGTCAATTATATCTTTGACTTGTGACTCCATAACTGGGACATCAGAATCAAATGAGCGAGCGAATGGGAGTTCGGAGGTAGGGATACGGTGAGTGCCTAGACTAGTTGCGCTAGTACCATCTATGTTATTCACTTCGTAAGTATCACTCTTCTCATCATGGTAGGCAATAACAAAAGGTCCAATTGTCTTAGAAGAGAGTTCGGTAACGTTGGCATTGCGATTTATAATGTTAACATAATCGCCAACTTTGAACTGAACAATGTTCTTAGTGTTATTCCATCGGCCATACGCTTTAAGTAGGACACGATTTTT